TCCGGAACTTGCTATCTTGATTTGTAAGCATAAAAGAACTCGCGATATACGAAAAATGTCATCTCGCTCCTGAGTGCGGCCTGACGGGAAATGCTTGGCGCCTTATTTAGATTCTTTGTTTTACAAAAAAAAAGATTTCAAGTGCCGCTACGATCAGTGCAAGCTTATTTCGGATATGATACTGAGTTTGTTTTTTGAGTTTGTGGGAAATGTAAGCTTAACACAGTTCCAGATTGAAGGTAGTATTTTTTAATACAGTAAGTAAGTAGTCAGTTTAATACAGTTTCATCTGGATAGTTTCGGTCTCAGATCATTATAAGTAATCTGAAAGTATACAAACTAGTTTTTGCGGCATTTACATCAATATTTCACTATAATTCTGCGATGGACTTATCCGCATCAACCTCTAACAGAGTCGTGGAAGTTGTCAAACTGCATCGTACGCGTCGTGCTAGGAGGCACGGAGGCCCAATATCGTTCTTATCTGATTTTGAATGATCTAAATTTTAATACACCCCAACCAATAAGTATAAGAAAGAAGAGTTTCCATTTTACATAGACAGACGTTATGTTATTACAGTCCTTTTTTTGTTTTTTAATCTCGTATCTGGTTTCTACCATTTTTTCTAAGATTTAATAAAGCAAAGGCAACAGACATTCGTATCAACCAGATAGATTTGTTTAAAATAATTCTAATTCAGAAACGTCTCTATTTGCCTTGAAGGACGACATTTAGATTAGGTATCACATCAAAGGATGTGATAATGAAAATCATTAAGGAGGAGGAGCTCTGCAATTTGGATACACTTCATCACTCTGCTGAACACCATACGCCATCTTTCATCTGCCTGATAAATTCAACCAATCATCAAAAAAGCATATTAATATGAAAAGTAGTGCATTTATGACGATGTCTCCGTACTAGCTGAACGGTATTCCATGCCGGAGACAATAACAAAGCACTCATTGTTTGTTTCAAAAATACTTTTTAACTTATACCGCTCAACAACGAGGATGGGTTCCATTAAGCGTAATAGAAATTAACGGTGTATCGTGTACAACACAATAATTGCGATAAAACTTTAGAGAGCTTCTGAAACAGCTAACTGCAATTAGATAGAGAAAACGGAGTACCTAGACACCGATATAAATTATGTTGCAATTGACGCTGGACTGGTTCGGCTTTTTTTGTTGGTACGAGTATCTTGTCAATGCGGCCCTTCACTTTGTTGACATCGGTCATCACGGTCTTCATCATACTTCATATCAAAACGTAGGTTTTCAAATAACAAAACTACCACTACCTTTATTTTAGGATCAAGGCACACAGAACCTTCTTACAAAACCCCACTGTAGAGAACAGACAAGCCGACGTCGAGTCCAGAAACAAATATAACGAAGCGGTTCGCAATGCCAAAAACCAGCACGATATAAAAGTTAGGCACAGGGTAATATCGCAGCGCAATGGCAGTCGGTCTTTCAGGACGCTGGGCAAACAGTTTGAAAAGAACTTCTCACACAGTAGCCTTCGACCACTTACGTGTCAGGATGAAACTATTGTATTCGACTCAAAGGACAAGGCGGAAGTGCTAGCCAAGATCTTTGCTGCCAACTCCACCATGGACATCCCTCCCAACGCCCAAGTGCCGTCAATTCAAAGGGTTCCCTACACTATGCGGGAGGTATCATTCAGGCATAAGACCGTAAGACGAGTGCTCTTGTCTCTCGACATCAACAAAGCCTCTGCTCCGGACTTGATTCCTGCCATTGTACTGAAGAGGTGTGCAGCGACGCTTGCCCCAGTTCTTTCGCGTCTCTTCCAGCTATCTTATGAATCCGGCACCTTCCCAGAAAACTGGAAATTCGCTCATGTCCAACCCATCCCAGAAAAAGGATCTTACAACTTACAGACCTTACAACTACAGGCCTATAGCTCCGCTTTCTGTTATAAGTAAGGTGATGGATAGGTGCATAAGTCGCAAGCTTCTGGATTACCTCAAACGTCACAGCTTGAGTAGCGACAGGCAGTAAGGTTTCCGGCACCAACAATCCCCAGGGGACCTCCTAGCTTACGTCACGGAATTGTGGAGTAAACTCATCCAGTCTTATGGTGCTGCTCATGTCGTTCTTGACATCACGAAAGCGTTCGATCAGCTGTGGCACACTGCCCTCTTAATCAAACTTCCATCCTATGGCCTCCCAGAAAAGCTTTGCAGATGGGTTGCTGACTTTCTCTCTGGCCGCAAGATATCCGTCGTAATTGACGGGTTTTCCTCTTCATCCCACAACGTTAACGCGAGTGTTCCCCAGGGATCGGTATTGACTCCAACACTGTTTCTCTTACATATCAACGACCTCTTTTCCTGCACGATCAATCCAATCGACAGCTTCGTTGATGTCAGCACTCTACATGCAGGAATTCAGAGTGACAAGCCGATCTCTGCCGCTGAGCTGGAGATTAGGTCTTGATTAGTGATAGTTGTTTGTTTATGTTGTTGTTATAGCTGTTTTTCTCTATTACGCTTGAAAGCTGATTCATACGTTTTTGATTGTTATTAGTTTTTACGTCAAATCTGTACTCTTAGTTTCGATATGGAACTAGCCCACTATTTGTATTTTGTTTCCATGGATGCTGTGATTTTTTTTCCTTTAATTTTGGTGTGTGGTTCTGTTAAAAGCTTTATAACTTAAAATCTAGTGATTTTATCTGAATCAAATCCCATATCAAACAAAAACTTATAGAAGATTGAATCCGAACTTGTACAAATATACAGCATTTGAAATTTTCGAGAAAAAGTTCAATTTGCGTTTTTGACCATCCTGTATGAGCAAAAATGGAAATTCGAAAAAGTATCAAATAAAATAAAAGCTGAGGTGTGTAAGTTTCTTTTAATATAAAATTCAGCACTCCAAATTTCAAAATGGCGGACTGAGGGGTTGCGGAAGTAGGGGGGTTTTTCTAGACAAAACACCTTATATCTCAGTAGCTGATTACCAAAACCCCATAATATGTCTTATCAATCTTTTCCTTTTGAATTGGTTTATCCAAATGTGCAATAAAATTTGATGCACTCTATTTAAGAAATCACAACTTTGATATGTATGTCAAAATTGCGAATATCTTAAAAATGTGCCCTCACATGTCGTGTATAACATGCCATTAATAGATTTTCTCAAAATGTATTTGTTTATGAGTAAATATTCCGCCCACACATATTTTTTGAGACGCTACTTTGGCGACTTCTACTAATTCCGGCGGAGTCAAAGAAAACTCGGAATCAGACATTTTTTACTTTTTAGTATTAACACACACTAAGTACACAATTTTTAAATCAAATCACAAAATTAAATTGACAGCTGTTTAATTACTTTAAAGGTTTCCTTAGCAACGCAGGTCTAATTGTCGCTACATCTACAGCATAACCTACTAATTTCAAAATTCAAATTTCACATCAATGATTTTCTGACTTAAATATTGTAATAATATAATTTTTCAATATTAAATCGTCGATTTTCCCGTCACAGATAAAGTTTGTGTATTATACACGGGAAAAATACTAGATTTTTGCTTTCGGTTTTTTATGCAACTTCAAACTAAAATCTAGTACTTTTTTCCCTATTACTATAAAATATTTATTACTGATTTCCAGATAACGAAGTAATGTACTTTTTGAGCGTAAAAGCACAACGTAAAAAATAAATTGAAGCCAATTTCGATAAAATGAACTCACGAAAGTTAAATTCTTGGGCTTGTATCTAGATACAGGGTTGCATTTTAAAGACCACTGTGTATATATTGCTTCAAAGATGAAACTCCCAATCATATCTTATGAAAAATTTGCGAACTGTCCTTACCGAAGCACAGATAGTTGAGACACGACTGAGGTATGCACTATGCTTCTGGGGTTTGTCCACAAATGCCCAGCAAGTATTTTTGGCCCAAAGAAGAGTGGCTAGATGCATGATGGGAGTCAGCAGTAGGCGTTCTTGTAAGGTTATTTTTAAGCGCCTTAAGATTTTAACTTTACCATCTTTATTTTTATACGAAATGGCTGTGTATACTTTTATTAACAAACCAAAGTTTTCAAACAATTTTAACTCGTACTCGACCAGACAAGCTGGAGACTTAAATGTGTATTTTGCCGAGTATGAGATCGACGTCAGATCTCCGGAAATACTTTGTCCACGAATTTTCAACAGGCTACCAAACCGTATTAAAGAGTGTGGAGATATACATAATTTTATAGCTAAACTGACAGATTTTCTTGTGTGTAAATTTTATTATGCCGTCTCTGAGTTTGTTATGTTATGATTTATTTGTGTGTTTGTTTTATACATATATTTATTTTGTGTTGTTTTATTAGTTTTTATTCCGACGAATCCTATACATACTTTGTAATGTCCCTTAGGATAATAAAATAATTTGAATTTAAATTTGAAATATACCAAGTAGTCGCCAATGCTGACAAGACCTCCTAAGGCTACTCACCTACAGAGGCGATGCGATGCGTATCGAACTTTGCCTGGTCGCTTCCTTTGCTCCGGACTTTTTGTCTGTCGTCGCATTGCCTCAGCTAGCGTGCACCTCAAGATTTTTATTTAAATAGGTTCTAACTATTACGTGTTATCCAGCAGTTCATCTGCATTTTGCACAACCTACATACATTAGCAACCAATGACAAGATAACGGATCATCAAATATTTTCATAGACGAATCGAGCCTGTCGTATAGTAGAGCAGGTTTTCGGCCTGAGGAGCAAGTGTTACATAAAAGTGTAACCGCTGCCATAATGATGTTGAAGCCGTCGTACTGCAGCCGCCTTCTTTACGACAGTAAAACTTAATGGATCGTCTCGTTTTATGAATTCTGCCGTTACAGTTGTAAAAGGACAATAAAGGCTCTTTATTGATGCATACATTTTCACCGTATATCGCGAAAAGCGCGGCAATACTTTTATTTCTCTACATATTGTAATTTGCGTTTATAGGACCATACATACCGTTCCGTTCAAAGCAAGAATTTGTAACTAAAAAGAAGTAGCTTCTAAATATTCTCGCATACAGTGTGACCGGAATCGATGGCAAGACGCTGGAATAAGATATATATATATATATATATATATGTATATATAAGATATTGATCAAGGGAGAAAGGTATGAGACAAACCTTTTTACCTCCCAGGCCAAGTGGCGTAATAGCAAAAACCACAAGAATGAGACATTAAGTTAATTGAATGTCGCGTTACATCTACCTCGCGAAAAACCATGTCTCAATACCGTTTATATGTCTGTCCGCTGATCCGTAGTCTTTCTGTCAGGACGAAAAAGCTTCGTAGATTTTTATCATCGATTCCGTAGCGATGGAGCGATGCAAAAATTGCACACACTTAATTCTTTGACGTCTCAAAGGCACCTGATCATTTCCAGAAAAAAATTGGAGCTGTAGAGGGTAGAAGGTTGCAAATGTCGTACATTTGGTTTCAGTGACAGATGTCCAGTTTTTAAAGAACGTCTGATCGTAGTAAAACTACGCATATATCAGGTATAGAAGTCAGGATCTGGGTAGACAAGTGCTTCTAGCATATCGCCTCGAAGGCTCGCGGGTTCGAATCCCGGTCTCGGAGAGCCATGGATATAGTGTTTGTATGTATGTACACACCAGTTTGGTGCAAGATCAAATGCGGTAGGTTTATTTTTCATACTTTAAGGTAAAAGGGAGTTTTGCGATATATCATAGCTAAGTAAATATATATATATATATATATATATATATATATATATGCAGGTATAGATTCACCGTTACAGTTTTATGACTAAGCTCGACCTATTTTGTTTGTTATATATATTATATTATTATAAATATCAAAATATCCTTAAAACCAATTTCTAGTGTCAATTCCAATTTTATCACCTGATAGAGACCTTATTTTTTAACAAGATGGGGCGTCATATCATACGGCCAGAACCACGAAAAAATGGTTGCAGGATAATAATATTTCCGTCCTTGACTGGCCTTTCAGTCCAGTTCCATTGAAAACCGTGTTAAACTATGCAAGCCAGAATGAATGCTGTTATTAAGGCAAAGGGAGAGGTTACGAGCTATTGAAATGGTTCGTTCGAACATACAGGGTGTAACAGTAGAAAACATTTGAGTATAGGGACCCATATCCGCAAGACTTAATTGGACGAATTACAGCAGCATTTGAAATCATTCAAAACGAGTATCAAATGTTTAGTCAAGTCCGCCGAAATCATGTGCTACGTTTAAATCGGTGTATTTAGATTGGAGGATGACCTTTTGAATAGTTGTTGTGATGATATCATGTACAAAAGGCAATCATTAATCCTATTTAGGCAATTCATCGTGTTTCTATATTTTAATGCGTCTTGGGGTCGTAGTGCCGTAGCGACACTTTTCCGGATATGGGTCCCTATACTCAAATGTTTTCTACTGTTACACTGAATAACCCCTAGAAGTTTGATCCCTTAGTTCTGAAACACCCTGTATTTATGTGTCAGCCAAATATTGTTGTTATCAATATTAGTTTAGTTTTATAGTTTGATACCATATTACTTGATAATAATGTTGCTAATATGATGTCAAAACAATACATTTCAATGTGTTATAAAAGAAAAAATTATTCTGTAACCTTAAAAAATTAAACAAACTTTTAGATAAAATTATATAATGTCCGAACTATTTTGTGTTAGAGCTCGTAATTGCTTTGACCAATTTTATTCGAATCATAGCTAAGAGTTGCGTGAAAGTTGAACAGTCAAACTACTTGATTTCATTTTTTAGTTATTAATAGATCCAGGCCGTTGGTATATCTTTCCACTGTTTTTTAGTACAAACATGAGGTGGACATATTGTGGTATATTGAAAATCTTTTAATACGAGGATTTTAACGAGCCGATAAGGTTACTTCCTGCTAAGAAAATTGCTGGAATTGGCTAAGATTATTTGAAAAAAAACAATAATGGGCCAAAAAATCTGACACCGAGGCCACTAATTTTGGTTCTTAGAGTGTATTTATCTCAGCCTCATAGAAATAAATAGAAAAATGCTACATTTCCGGAAAGATTCTACGTGTACTTAATTAGCTGATTCTTTTTGCAAAACGGCGTTTCCCTGATCTATTTCATAATTCACTTAAGTATGGTATTTTTCCCGAAAATCTGAAATTAGCCATAATCGTTCCGGTATATAAGAAAGGAAACCCTAATGACTTGGTAAACTATAGATCAATAAGCCTGCCTTCTTGCTTTGCAAAGCTTTTCGAACTGGTGATGTATTCACGAATTATGTATCACATGCTCTGTAATAACTTGATTGCTGAATCACAACATGGCTTTATAAAAGGGAAATCGATAAATACGGCTATATACTCCTTTAGCCACCGTATTGTAGAATGTCTGGAAAATAATATGATATCACTGGGTTTGTTTTTTGATCTCTCCAAAGCATATGATTGTGTAGAACATTCTCTCTTACTGAGTAAACTTGAGGCATTTGGGATAAGGGGAAGTGCCTGGAACTGGGTCAAGTCTTATTTAACAGACCTCCAACAAAGTGTTTCCATCATAAAGAATGGCATGACAGCCGTCTCATCGCAGTTAACAGTAGATAGAGGTATCCCACAAGGAAGCGTCTTGGGTCCTCTCCTCTTTATGATGTTTATAAATGATCTGAGTGATAGTAGAGCAAACCCGAATAATGTATGTACTATTCAATATGCAGATGATACTAGTGTGATTATAGCTGGTCAAAATTTCAACCAAGTAGCCGAAAATACATTGAGCATATGCGAGAAAGAATTTTGGTGGTTTGCTCGCGACGGTCTATACTTGAACACATCAAAAACAAATGCGATAGTATTCAAATTAAAGAAAAAATCGAAGCTACGAAGATCCACTTAGCTGATATGGTAGAAGTCAAGCTGACAGACTCTGGTAGATTCTTAGGAGTGTATATTGACCAAGGACTTTCCTGGGCTACACATGTAGAACATCTAGAAAAACGGTTAAACAGCACTTGTTATAGTATTAGGATATTAAGTAAGTACCTAGACCTTAAGACCCTAAAAATTGTTTACCATGCCAACTTTGAGTCCAATGCACGTTTTGGTATAATTTTTTAAGGACACAGTAGCCAGATGAACAGGCTCTTTCGGGTACAGAAACGAGCATTGAGATGCATGTTAAAAATTCGGCGTAGAGAAACATGTACAGGTAAATTTAAAGGGAATAAAATACTCACCATAGTGGCAATATATATTCAGGAAATATTGATTTTTCATTTAAAAATATTGGGTACTTTATAAGAATCCCAGGCAATTACAATACAAGGAACAGAGATATAACTCTTGTGTACCTCATTTAACTGTTACCGAAAAAAACGTACATTACAGTTGTGCAAAGCTTTACAATAAGTTACCCCAGGAAGTTAAAAAGAATACAAAAGAGTTCAAGAAATGTATTCACCTGTTACTAATGAATCTAGAGCCACATGGGCTCGATGAATATCTATAAATGTGAAACAAACATTGTGTAATATTGTAATATTTAGACACTATTTTTGTTTCTTGCATTTGTTTGCTATTATGGCATTATGTGACATATATTTCACCTGACAGCGGACATTACGTTGTAATTGTGCACTGTTATTTTGAAATAAAGATTATTTATTTATTATTATTCATCATTCCTCAAATGAGTCAACTAACTCATTAAGTGAGGTGGACGTGACGTCCCGCCTTAATGCACTCATGTGTTTCTAATGTCCAACATACAGTTAGAATCATGGGTCAATATTCAATAATTCAGATAAAGCATCAAAGTGAAATACCATTTCAACAGAGCGTTTCCCTTCGGCGACGCTTTCGACTCCGGGAATATTCCTGTGAGAGTTCTAAGGCGGAGTAGGCTTGTCACTGCTGTCGATTATTCCAGCCGAGATTTATGTCAGATTCGTGGCAACTTTCGAGCTAAGGCAGTGGTCAAGGCGACGCTAGCCGACGGGACGGCTTACATATTTCTGATTTGCCATTACTGTCACGTAGCCAGTATAAAGGCAATACTTAACTTTTCAATTTACTGACGTTTCATTTATTTTCGTTGCCGCTGCTGCGTCCGGAAGGAACGTATACAGTGACGGCGAAAAATCGTGGGACGGAAAAGTCGTGCCATGGATATGGTCAGTCTATATGTGACAGGCTTTGTCCCTGATTACCGACTTTTCATATACATATGAAACTCGGTTTCTATAGTGGCAGAGATAAATCGATTCTAAAAAATATTTTTATTGACTATTTGACCTTACCATAACTTACAGATATACAGGGTGTAAACATTGTGGTAGTCATTATTGAAATGGGTAATAGGGGGGGGGCAAAACAAGTCAAGAAGTTCATATGACCCATGGTTCAAAAGTCAATAGATGTTTGTCTAAATGGCTTTATGGTTTACAACTTTAAGTGCTTTATATCGACCACACAATCTTACTAATTTTTATATTCTAATCTAAAACGTTTTTAAATTGAGTAATTAACAAATAAATGTCATTAAGTTAAGCCAAAATTAGTAGTCAGTAAGTAAGTGAGTTTCATTAAATTAAATATTTAAAACATACATGACAACAGCGCGTCGATTTTCATCACTCTTATCGAACTGGCAATCGATCGCAAACGGTAACAGTGGTTAGTTATTGTTCGCGTACGTCGTCGTGTTTATTTACAATACATGTATTCTCGAATCAAGAGTTCGCCGACATGTTTTTAGTATACGGTGAAGCTCGTCTGAATTCAAATCTTGCAGCTCAAATTTATCGCGACAGATTTCGCCAACGGGTACAACCAGACAGAAGGACATTTGTGCAAGTGTACCAAAGACTTCGAGATACAGGAAGTGTTCAGTCCTCTAATATTCGCACTCGTGAAAAACAGGTTACTGTAGAGGGGGAGGGACAAATTTAGTGGAAATCAATGCAGATATCAGCACTCGAGAATTAGGCCGCCGCGTAGGACTATCGCATACCATAGTCCATAGAATCCTACGGGGAAATTTGCTTTATCCCTACCATGTACAACGAGTGCAGGCCTTGTTACCAGAAAACTATCCTCGCAGACGCAGTGGTTTTTACACAAAAACATAGCGATCTTAACAAAAGACGTAACAGACTCACTGCTGCGGCTGAACAGGAATAGCCTTGAAAATTTAGTGGGACTGTACAGTGGTTGTTGCAATTTGCTTCACCACATGAGCAGGCTAGGCATAGCTGAAGACGCTGGGTGCAGACTGTGCATGGAAGGAGACAAAACGGTTAAGCATCTCTTAATGCAGATGCCCTGCAATTGCCAGATTCAGTTGCAATATACCTGTACATTTGGGGGCAGTACTCCAGGTAGAAGGCATGAAGTATATTTTTGAAAATAAGTTGATCGACTGCGACTTCCTGCGACCAGTGAGTCGCAGTGTAGGGTCATGATTGACCCATTCACAAAAAACCTTACATTTCCTCCAAAAAGTGCCATACCTAGGAATTCAATGTGACGTTTCGTTCCTTGACTTCAATCGAGAACTTTGTTTTCTTGCGGGTACCATATTGGATATTTGCACAGTTGAACAGAGTTTTCAACTCTTGTTTCCTCAACTTGAGTTATTTCACAGAAACTTACATTTTCGTAGTTGGCCTTGATAATGACATTTGATTACCCATAAGAAAATATTAAGTTAATAAGATAAGACGGAACGTCGCACGCTTTATACGTAGGAATTGTTATTATGCGACATTGCAGATATAGCAACAATGTCAAGTGCAATTTGTTTTGAAACCTTACCTCAAATAAAATAAGGATGTTCCCGTCTATCTCTGGAAAAACTTTGAATTTTTAATTTTCCTGCCATTTTCTTAGCTTCATAAATACGCCATCGCCTCACCAATCTTCTGTTTCATACCATTTCACAGATACCAATAGTGGGGGTCAAATTCGCAAAACTCGGTATACAGATAAACCAAGTAAAAAATATAATGGTTGATAAGTATAGTATTAATTTCTGTTTAAGCAGCGCGGCGACGTAGTGGTAGTCGCTATGGTTCAATCAATCAGTCGCCGGTTCGAATCCCGTTCCAAGGCAATTTTTCTCTCGGCTATGATTGTCCGTAGACGGTAGGCAGACTCAGACTGCCAAGCGTGGCGGAACTCTAAAACGTGTTCACTCGCTAGAGCCTATGGCGCCTAAGAGCATTTAGGCTTTAGGCCTGCGTGGTGACTCAAGCAAAGAAAAAACATAAGCGACATATCAAAATGATTGTTGTAATTATTTGAGCGATGTGTCCAGATCTCCAACGTTTACGTTCAGAGCATATATGCGACTTGCAATATCTCTAAATAAGGCTTTTGAGAAAACTAATGCAACTCCTAGTAGCCAGAACGAGAATGCGGAACGCGGCAGTAAGAACATGATATGATAGCAGTAAACATCTCTTTATCTGCCACATTCGGACAGCCGTTCAAATGCACAGTATAACATAGCAGCATCAAAAAAGCATCGCGCTGGTGTTTTTCCCGCCAATGCAGTATTCTGACAAAAAACCCTTTATAGCTGTAACGTGTTACACGCGTAACTGTAGGTCATTACCATATATGAGAACGAAACGCTGCATTTTCGGTAGACCGGCATAATAGCAGAAATTCAATGAATGCAACATGAATTTCCTGCGTTTCGACAGAAAAGATACGGCGCAAAAAATTGTTGCTTGCTACTGCAAAACGCTTCCAGTTTTGTTCCATACAACTGATTACTTGGAAGTCGAGTGTACATTATTAATGTGCAGCTGTACGGCGTGCTACCAATCCAGGAGGCCTTTTTGGTGTCATGGAAACATCCAGCAATGGTTTTCCTGCTGATTGAAAAGGTTGTTTCGCAATGGACCAAACTCATTTGATTATGTATTTATTTACTAAAACTACTGGTGACATTCGTACAAAATAAAATTGCATAGAATATACGGTACCAACATTCAAGACATGCAAAAGTTCACAAGAGTATTCTTACATAGGACCAAAATTTAAAAGAATCTTTTCAAAGCCTGAGAGTGTTCAGGTAAAGGTATCAATATCAGACTGAGCCAAATTGATAAGACGAAATGCTCTTCGACTGGAGAGTTCTAACCATAATTTGTCGGATTGAACTTAATCGCAAATAGATTGACGACTACATTGTTATTTACAGTTTGTAGCCAATGAAAAACTATTGTATTCTGTTACACAATAAAATCTTCCAAACGGTACTACCATCAAAGCCAATTGTCTATGATCCAATGTTAGCTCTATGATATTCTGTCATGTTTAAGTTAATCTTTAAGGCTGCAAGATGTAAAAATAGTTATGAAGACCATACAACTGTGGCATATTCTAGATTTGATGTTACCAAATAACAGCATTAAGTTCGGAAGGGATCGATTCAAAAACACTTACAATTGTCCAATCAAAGCCCAGCATCTGCATGTCCCATTAAGAATATAGTCTGTATAGATAAGCATTTCATCATAAAGCATTCCAAGAGGTCCCACAATGTCATCTCTCTCCGTAATTGTCCTGTAAATTTTGAAGACATCAGCAATCATAGTTGCTTTAGAATGAATTAGCCTACATAAACAAAGTGAAGTGGAGAGGACACAATGGAACTTGGAGCCCCTGATGTAACCTTAAAGATCGAAGATTTTTACACTTAAGGAATCTATGACAGCTGTGCCAATAGAATGTCAAAGTTCACTCTGTCAAAGGATCAACTATATAAGCGACCAAATTCTCCACAAGCAATCTTCCCTTACTAAACTGAAGTTGACAGCTACTTACAATACGACATGACCAGTTAAGTTGATCATGTATCAAGATATCAAAAAGTTTCGGAATTGATGACTGGTTACATACACCTCGATAACTGCTACTATCTTCAAAGATGTAAGGATTAGTCCATGTTTGGATGGACATGTTAGAAATAAGCAGTAAAGATGCATTTTTGAGAAATATAATACCTCAGGAATTTGGTCTGGACCCGAGCTGAACTTAATTTAGTGACATTATGTCTAACGGAACTAGGCCGAAAAGTTAAGCCTTGGTTCTCTTCGCTTCCCTTTTCCCGTTGAATGTCCACCTTTACAGAATTGGAGCACGATATGGTGTATAAATGGCAACATAAACCTACCTGCCTGGAGAGCGATGTGACCGGAAATTCAAGGCCTATCCAAGTTAAACCAACGATGCTGCTCATGATGCTCGGGTTACATAATGTTCATCGTAATATTCTATATAGCATTTAGATGGTTTTCCTCTATCCACAAATTATTTTATATTTATCATGGTCTTATGCTACGTGTAGCCAAAGACGCAAATTTCTCAAATAAAAGAGTTTCTTTCGACCTAACCGTTTCTTTTACGTGTAACCGACAACACGTTGTAATAAAACGTAAAAGTAGCGTTGCTTTTCAGTTACACAATGGTCTACATCAGGGTAGTAACTTTGGACTAGCTCTGTACATGTTTCACAGTAATGACGCATCGGACAATATGTATACAGGGTGTTCCTTAATGATATGCGAATATTTAAGGGTGTGAATCTACATAAAAATTAATGTTAGTTTGCCGTATAAACTATGGTCCCAAAATGTTTCCTCGCAAAAACTCGGGGTGTTGAAGTTTTAGGAAGAAAATGGAAATTAATTATTATTCTCAGAACCGCTTCAGATATTTCACTGATATTTAGTACTTAGTATATATATTTTTATTATTTTTTAATTCCGCGTTCAATTTCAAACAAATAATCTCACTTGAATTATTTTCCTACGATGCGCCATTTTTGACTAAAAAAATAAAAACTGTTCTATTGTCCGAGAAAATTAATGTAATAATTGAAGAATGCAATTTAGCAGTAAATATCTAGTTGCTCTGGAATATGTCACTAGCTTTTGACATCTGACAAGTCTCTGTTATTCAAATCTATAGGCTGTGACATCTTTTTCATTATTTAGTTTTTACAATCTTGTTAATAATGGTGAATTATTCAAATGCAGAAATGGCGGAAATGTATTACGTATATGGCCTTGCCGACGGTAATGGTGAGCAAGCTAGACGGATTTATCACCAGAGATATCGCGATCGTGCTTTGACAGATGGTCGAACCTTTTCTAATATTCATCGTCGTCTTGATGAAACTGGTTCTGTCCCAAAAGGAATACCTGAAGGTAGACCTATAAGTGTGAGAACAGCTGAAATTGAGGAAGCAGTGCTGCTCGAAGTCGAAGAACATCCTGAAACGAGTACGCGGAAGATCGCTAGACACTTATATATAATATAGACTTGTTTTGAGCCCCCTATTACCCATTTCAATAACGACTGCCATAACCAGTGCCATTTCTAAAGGTAGATTCTCATTGAGGGTAAATGTAACCGAAGAAAAGGAAATGGAAACTTTCGCTGTTTCCGATACACATAATCAGATAACACACACTTGAGTTATGCGACATGAAGAGACATGCCACGTTTGACATGTGCACATGACAAATGTCGCCGTAGTTCCCTCCATCGTCGCATCGTTTTAACCCTTTTCTCTTCACCTGTTATTTTGAAATCGCTCCAGAGTAAACGATATCTACATGTAAATCATGACATCAAATCACCGGACTATTATAACACATATAGCAAATTTCAACGGTAAAAGTGTCATCGTGCTGGACGTAAAACGTCTCTTGAGGGTTCGGTGAATTGCAATTGCAATAAGGCTTGTCATGGAGGCCGGATATAAACATGATGTTGCCTTCTCCTGGCTTCTTTGAATCTCGAAATACATTCGGTGCAGCAGTCTAACCAGCAAAATAAATTGTATGTCAGTACATTGAATAGTTAAGTTTCGCCCTTTATTTGAGGGACGTGACCAAAATAGGAATACGCTGTAATATACTTTTCTGTCATATTTGGGCTCTCTTGAGCTGTTGAAATACAGAGACGTTTTGCGTGAGGAATTTACGGGATTAGATTTTGAAATATCCGCCTCACATCCTGAATATGAAGTACCCTAGAAGCTTTTTGTTCAGCGTTCAGGAGAGGTGACGTATCGATGTTTGATCCTTAAGATAAGGCTGATGCCCGAGTTGACGTCTTACAGTTATGTGGCTAAGTCCCAAAAATCCACCGAACCGTGCACTTTGCTTTACTGCAATGAAATTTGCCACGGAGTAAGTAACATATACGCATTCAAAAAGTGGTACCCAAGTTGCCTTCTAGGAGGGACCGATCTACAAAGTGTTATGATATGTCGCAGATGTAAAATGAGGCGGTTGTAATGCAATCGCTGATGTCAAAACCCTATTGTTTTCAGATTTTATGGTTCGAAATTTCCCTGGAAAGGGTATGAAACGCATCTAAATATTATTTACCTCAACAAGTAGGTACTATCAGTATTAGTAAAGATGACGAAAAATCCCAGACTACTACTGAATCACTGCTTATACCATCAGAATACACCATAAAATAGAAAATCGTAAATTTGCTAGGATCCTCAATAATTGCCTCTTGAGCACCACTTTTTAAAAGTAATGTATTGGTCAGTACTTCCTCCATGCCGGTGCAGCAAACTGGAGCAGTCATGATAAAAGCGCTGAGGGCGGCCGTGTTTTCTTAGTATTTCCAGATTTCCTCGGAAATGACTTTGGAAAACTACCCTACCCGATATACGAGGGATGTCTTTTAAGTTTTGCATATGGAAATAAAACAACACGGTAGGTAGTTTTAAATAACTTTATTGTTTTTCGAAGTATTCTCCACGGAGATTAATACACATCTGCATGCGCTCGAACCAATTTTCGAAGCACTTATTCCACTAATTTGCTGGAAGATCCAAAACGGCATTTTTGAATGCGTCAACTGTTTCTTCTGGTGACTGGAACCTTCGACCACGCAGTCTGTTTTTAATTTCCGGGAAAGTAAAGAAATCGTTAGGACTTAGATCGGGACTATATGGAAGATGGTCCAATAATTCCACTTTTCTTCCGTTAAATACTGCCTTGTTTTCTGGGCTGTGTGCAAGCTTGCAATGTCTTGGTGGAGGATGATTCTTCTTTCGGGGTTGATTTTTCGAAGCTCGGTTATGACTTTTGGCAAACAAATGGTGGTATACCAATCCGCAGTAACAGTTCTTTGCTCATTAAGAGGAATTGTTGCAATATGAGTCGTTTTTGACACAAATGTCGCGACCATCTTTTTCGAACCACTTCGAGAACGGATGACTTTTGTTGGCTTTTCTTCACCTTCGAACACCCAACCAGCCGACTGTCGATTATTTTCTGGTTTATAACAGTAAATCCTCGATTCATCACCACTAACAATGCTGTATACATTTTTTGAGTTTCCGGAATCGAAACGGTCAAGCGTTTTTTGACACCAATTAACCCTGGCTGCTTGCTGCTCGTCAGTCAGCAGGTGAGATATCCAACGAGAAACTGATTTTCTTACTCCTAATTCTTCATGTAAAATTTTTTGAATTGTGGTCTTTGAGATCTTCAAGGACGCCTCAATCTCACGATATGTCACATATCTTCAATGATGAGTTTGCGCACAGCATCGACGTTTTCCTGGGTGACTGCCGTTTTTGGTGCACCCACCCTGGGATCGTCGCTAAGACTCACCCGTCCACGTTTTAATTCTCCATACCAACGGGAAATTGTCGACTGATGTGGCGCTTCGTTGCCGAAAACAGACTGTAACTCAGCAAGGCATTCTTGTTGCGATAATTGTCTCTGAAAGTTGTAATAAAAGTGTTCTCGGTTGAGTTCCATTTTTCTAATGACTTGGTGACACTTAAAAATTCACTGTAGTGAGAACACTGCACGTATTGTTGTGAAACTTTGAATTTAAGTTTACTAAAGGGTGAAGTTAAGATTCAGTACTGGCTTTTCTATATGCAAAACTTAAAAGACATCCCTCGTACTGTTACAAATATCGATGTTTTAGGACCCAGAAATGGAGAATGTGCTGTTTGTTTACATTTGGTGTGGATTTCTAGATCATAAATTGGCAAAAATTGTTTTTGATGTAACAAAAGATGATGAACCAGTTGGAATACGTTTTATATCCTTTTTTTGCAAAATAACAAAAATCGGTACATTTTTACAAGTACGTATTAAGTACAACACCCTGTACGTGATATACAGACAACACTAGATTGTCATGCATGAACAGTCGTCAAAAACAGTGAAAACATCCTACCAAATATAATAGCCAGAAAATCGACCTATTATTTGCCGCATTCCCATTAGTCCCACTTAAATAACTGATCGTCTTTTGTGAAATCATAAAGATGTGAAATTCTATGAAAGTTATCCTAATTCTAAAGCACAAAGACATAATATTACATCTATAATGTAACCTTATTTATAAGGCAACCATGTTTTTACGACTTTATTCAATAATTTAATAGAAATCAGTGATATTCAGAGAGCTTGACAGCTTCTGTCAAATTGCATTTCGATAAGGTCTTTTCCTATTAGTCCAACTGACCGCCAAATATGAATGTTGGTGAAATTGGCCCTAAGTTATGCCGAACATGATTCTTTACGAACTGATGACAGCTTAATGTATCAGCTTATTACTCTACAATTACTTGGTTTTTGCAGTGTCGTCCAGAATTAGCTCATTAAAAGGTCAGAAATGTCGCAGTAGCAGTGGCAGGGGATAAATCTCACGCCGCCGAGCCGTACTTCATCCGCGGCTAAAAGCCGCTCGCATTGTTTTGTTCACTGAGAGCGGCAAGCGTGGCGCGTCACAGATGGAAACGCCCGAATAACAGACAGAGCTCATGTGGAAGATGAAACACAAAGTATAATTGGAACAGGCGCACAGGGGATGAGCAGTGGCGGCTTCTCAGGGAAGGACGACAGTGCATCCTCTGTGATAATCCGTATTGATAAGTGAGATCATCCAAAGCATGAAAACGGTAACAGCCTTGGACACGATAATATATATAGTAAAAAAGGTGAGTAACACGGTTGTTCAATATTCTTATTCGATTAATCTCGCTGATTTAGTGATTAAGTCAGACGTAATATAAGATATGGTTGTATTTTAAAGGAACATCTTCTACTCGACGGTGTTCATAAATTCCGAAGCAAGATCTCATGTATATCTATTACTTTTTTATTACTCATTACTTAATAAACTTTATTATTATATATACGTTATCTATATTCCCACCACCGAGCTGTTATACAGGGTGATTCCCACCTTATCCGACACATTTTAACCACATATGCACTGTTAGGAAAGAAGTTGATTTCTCAAAAAAAAAGAAATGTAATAAAGGTTCTACAGAAATTAAGATAATAAAATAATACAGTTTAACAGTTCACGTACTCATAAAATCTGTTCAAAATTGTTTCCATTGACTGCAATGCAAGTTGGGAGCGTCTAATCCAATTTCGGCACACTAATTCAATTACACCTCCTTCTTGCTGGCTCAAATTATCAATTGGTCAACTCCTTCCGATCCAGCGTATCTGGTATGTGCCTATTCGGAAATCGGTGTGCATACAAACGAGAAGCCGCTCGAGAATTTTGCCCCGCTTCTCCGTACGCTAAAACAATGTCCACTAACTCCTCATTGGTGTACATATGTGCCATTTTCGTTAATAAATAACTAAATACATAAACTCGCGAAATACTTCCCTATTTAACTTCACAAAAAACGACCGTTCTTCATTCAGATCACCCACGATACAGATTAAACCTTATTTTCACGTTCTTATCAGAATGAAAAAAACTAAAAATTCCTGGTATTTTGTTTTTGTCAGTTGTTCGGTACAACATTTGTTACAATATATTATTAATGTGTGTTATATACCTTAACTATACCTTATAACTTAATTTTTGTAGGACCTTTACTACATTTTTTTAAGAAATCAACTTCTTTTGTCCGATAAGTTGTGAAACACCCTGAATTTATAACTCATGCAGCAAATATGAGTTACATTTCTGTAGTCTATTATAATTTATTACTAGCAATCCATAACGGTCAAATTACCTCGGCCAGAAGTATTACCTATTATTAGGAATTATTATCTTTATGTCTCTCGGACAATTTTCTGGGCGCCATTTTGAGACAGGTTTTCTTTCCTCTAAATCTAAACAATAATAATGTATTTTATTAGCAGCTTCACGACAACGGCGAACGATATTACGGAATCATGATGCTAATGTTTGAATGTGTGTGAAATGCTCATGCGTGCTAGCCACTAAGGCCGAAAATCTGCACCTTGTAAGATTTGGTAGTTTGCTCCATGTGATTTTATCGCGGTATTTTTCGCAGGATACTAGGATATCACTATACCCAAAACTACTTCTGCACATGAGCCCGTGACAATTCAGCCAACTGAACAAACTACATTATCTCTCATTAACCACAGTGTGAGATGAATTATGCATCTTGGTCAAGTTTCAACATTATTTTCTGTACGTCGCTACGCATGGCACCACAACACACATAATGTTGGTAATAATTATGGACTTACATCCCACTGGATTGGTGAGTCCTGCGTACAGGTCACGGGGCGATTCGTCCTCTACTTTTAAATATTACTGATATCAAAAAGATAATAACGCTCATGCGTTCTAGCCACTAAGGCCGAAAATCTGCACCTTGTAAGATTTGGTAGTTTGCTCCATGTGATTTTATCGCGGTATTTTTCGCAGGATACTAGGATATCACTATACCCAAAACTACTTCTTCACATGAGCCCGTGACAATTCAGCCAACTGAACAAACTACATTATCTCTCATTAACCACAGTGTGAGATGAATTATGCATCTTGGTCAAGTTTCAACATTATTTTCTGTACGTTGCTACGCATGGCACCACAACACACAGAATGTTGGTCATAATTATGGACTTACATCCCACTGGATTGGTGAGTCCTGCGTACAGGTCACGGGGCGATTCGTCCTCTACTTTTAAATATTACTGATATCAAAAAGATATAACGCTCATGCGTGCTAGCCACTAAGGCCGAAAATCTGCACGTTGTAAGATTTGGTAGTTTGCTCCATGTGATTTTATCGCGGTATTTTTCGCAGGATACTAGGATATCACTATACCCAAAACTACTTCTTCACATGAGCCCGTGACAATTCAGCCAACTGAACAAACTACATTATCTCTCATTAACCACAGTGTGAGATGAATTATGCATCTTGGTCAAGTTTCAACATTATTTTCTGTACGTCGCTACGCATGGCACCACAACACACAGAATGTTGGTAATAATTATGGACTTACATCCCACTGGATTGGTGAGTCCTGCGTACAGGTCACGGGGCGATTCGTCCTCTACTTTTAAATATTACTTATATCAAAAAGATATAACGATATTATCCGTCTTTTGATTCCTATGTAAAACCGATGGTCAAACAGCACAAACTCTACTCCATATAGAATACTGCAACTTGCAACCCACAAACCTTGCAAGCGAAATATTTCCAAAACGACCATTGCGCCGTTTCAGTGGTGCTCCCAGGATTTCGGTCTGGGAGAGGTAAAATGGATCATTGATTTCTCAGTGTGACGTACTGAAGTGTTATAATGAATTAACATCAAAAGCATGGACATATGCAGACATATGAATTTGTCACAGTAATTTCTGTAGAAAATACATACATTTTTTTTAATTTTGAATCATACGAAATCAAAGACTCCGCTTTTGAAGAAGCTTCGCGGTCTTTCCAATTTGATATAATATTTAGTACCTCTACAATTTTCTCGAATTTGCTTTCAAATTGGAGCACAGAATCATGTCTCTCGGTCCACTGTGTTTCGCACATACTATGAATTTGATATCCGTCTAGTTTACTTTTTAATACTGTATTTCTTTTAGCGGATGCTTTGAAGAACGCAATTACTTCCTTCATTATACCTACAGTATTTCTTACTGCTTGGACACTGCTGCTTTTTGAAATCGAAAGATTCAAGGCATAATTTTCACATGGGCTTTTTAGAGCATTTGGCAAACATTTTCGCAATTCCATTACAACACCCTTTTATTCACCTAACATTAGGTTGCACGTATCAGTACCAAAGCCCACACATAGTTTTGAATCTAAGTTATTGGTTTTAATGAAATGCTTGACTGTTTGAGCAAGAATTTGACCTGTAAGTTTGATCTCCTTTTTATCTTCATCAAAATTTGATTAGCAATCTACAAATACCATGAAGTCCTCGTAAATATCTTTTTGATAACAATACCGCAATACGATTGACTTTTGAGATTTATGGTTAATGTCTGTAGTTTCGTCAAATATAATACTGTAATACTGACTTTGCCTGCCGCGACTTAAAACTATATCCAAGATTTCTTCGCCACAACATTCTATAATTTCATGGATGCGGCTGCTTATGTACGTAGCATGCGCTTTTGAGTTCTTTAAGTTTTTTTATTCAATAAATTGTTGCCGCTCTCGACTCTAAACCGTATTAGTTCTCTAAAATTCCCTTCATGATTAAGGACATCCTCGTCATTCGTGCTGTCATTAGCAAAAAGTCGTCCCCTATATCTATGCCCTCTAAGTGGTATATTTTCGCGTCCTAAAAAAATTATAGATTCTATTACAGGAGTCAATCTTTGCCGATTTTCTGATACTTGCTGAATTTGCTCTGAACCTATTTCTTATATGATTCTCTAGATTTTCGTAAATCTTTAAAAAGTTTGTAGCATCCGAAACTACTTCTGTATGATATATTGAGTTCTCATGTGTCTCACAATCACCGGTTTTGCCATACAATTTCGAAAATTTCTTCAGTGGTGCGGTAACAAGCTTTCCCAATTTAGTTGGTTTATGTACTCCTCCTAATTTTGCAGTATTTACAGAAAAGCCTTTGTAAATCCTCTGAATACGACAGCCAAGTAAATTTCTCAAATTTTTTTTTATAAGTAACATTTCACTTCTTGATTATTTTTTAAGTGTATGGAATAGGGATATTTGAGAGTCATTAGGGATCATTGCACACCTCAATAAGGTATATTTTTCATGGGAAGACAAGTTGCCGCTGAAATTTACATATGGCGCAACATCAACTGCAGCATTCCTGATCGAAATACCACGAGCTACCACTGCACACAAGGGGTGGAAGCTTTACCGAAACTGGGGCACCGCCCGTGCAATCGGTGACAGAGACAGACGTGAAACAACCGCAAGGAAGCGAATTTTAAAGGGTGGCAAAGATAAACAGGGGAAAGTGAGGATTATGCTACGTCTCCTTCAATTACATGTGTCTACGTATTATGTGACACGCAATTATAGGGTTGCCACAGTAACGTTATTAACAGTTGAGTGCTAGACCTCTCAGATCCTAGAGTAGCGTAACACAATGGAAATCACTACGTCCGTATTTTCATACTCATAGCTGCATATTCCTTTTACCATATGAGAGACGCAGCAAGGCCTATGGTCATACGCTCAATATGCACTGTGGTCCGTCAGTATTTATACGACAGTCATTGACCATGTAGCCAGGACGTCAGTAATTATTGGTGTATACGGTTGCGTTGAAATTCATGATGCCTTGAACGTTTCCAATCTGAAATCTGCAACACCTTTAGCGATTTCAAAATAGAAGACAGTCACAAAGCACATTATGATTGAATTAAATATGTTTTTATCGACTGAGTAACCGGACTCAACACATCCTTCTGTTGTTCATTTCAACTAGGTAAGCATTTACAGGTTTCAAATGCGACCCTCACCATTGGGATCTCGGAAATTGTAACGGATACAAAGTCGCTCAAATGGAAACAAAGTTGCGTATTTAGGTAGTCAACAAAATGCCGCTTAGAAAGTGTCGAAGTTGGAAGTACTACCGAAGCGAGGAGGAAAAAATCGAATTTTCCCAAAATCGTTTAAATTTTTTCCTGACTTTAATTATAGTGGGATTTCAAAATAAATTGTACATTAACATTGTCACTCTTTCTCTTGTACAAGAGTGTAGCATATTTCATACATTGGCATTGCCAAACCTTGGTTATTTCAGAAAAACAGAATTCTAAGATTTCGTGTGTTTCGTATACCAGACAACAAAATGAACCAGCAACCAAGTTTGGACGAATAAGAAGAAGAGAAATAAATCGAACAGTGAACAATGTACAGACAAGAGTCAGGCTTTGCTTACAAAATAACGGACATTTTGGTCATCTGCTTGTTTATGATATACAGGGTGTTCCTTAATGATATGCTAATATTTAAGGGTGTGAATCTACATGCTAAATTAATGTTAGTCTGCTTCATAAACTATGGTCAAAAAATGTATCCTTACAAAAACTCGGGGTGTTGAAGTTTTAGGAAAAAAATGGAACTTATTTAATATTTTCAGAACCGCTTCAGATATTTCACTGATATTGAGTACGTAGTGAAAGTTAATAAAGTTGCATATTTTTCAATGCAAAAAGAATTTTTAGCTTTAACAGTGGCGTGCGTATGGGCATTGACTTCGATATTTTTTAAGAAAAAAGTGGTACGCCAATGGTTTTCTGCCAAGTAAAAATTATTTTTGAATGCCCGTTCAATTTAAAACAAATGATTTCTCTCGAATTGTTTCTCTTCGATGCGCCATTTTAGAGTAAAAAAATAAAAACCGTTCTATTGTCTAACTTGCAAAATTATTATTAATTTAATTGGAAAAATTAAACACATTAGGGGTAATGAACTTATTTGGTTACCTGATAGCATTAAGTTAGCTATGTCCATGTAGAATACGTTAAGCAATGATCTGATTTATCGACTCAATCAGAACCGAAACAGCTCTTCTCGTTGCATACGTGGCTTGCCCTCCGTGAGCCACAGACGTGGCAGCAATTGCAGCAGTTTGTGCCAAATCTGTCGTCGGGCGTTTCGATAAGTCGGATATTATTAATACTTAGACCGGAAGCAGCGGCGCGGCGGCAAGGACGTGAAATATGGTGCAACGCCGCACGTGCCGTGCCGGACACTTGGTTCGACCAGACGCTATGTTGAGCTGAGCTTTGCTGGTCTGTACTACATGATGCCGAATGTACATCCAGGCCATAGACTTGGCATTCTTATAAGTTAATTAGTTATTATAGCCTCGACGTAAAGACCATGGCCACCCATATCAAAACAATCTTAGGAAATTTCTTTATGCTTTGTTTCTTATGGAAACGATTGGTATAATCCACTGGACACTAAAAAATCTAGTAGATCTGTATGTTGTTTTAAATTCTGAACACAGTTCTGTTCGATTTACGCAATTAGTTGCTTAATTTGAACCGGTGACATCTCCGAACCTTCTTTCTTTTGCATATAAAAATCACATAACGCGATTCAAATCGTGGCCGTATGGCCGCAATATCTAAAACTGGCTGCCAAGGTGTAAAACGCCCGTTCAACATATCTTCGTAACCAATAGGCAACCAATAGGCGGATTTTAATTTTCCAAAGCCAGTTTTACTTCTTTTATAAGAATAAACACATGGTTACATATTTCTTGAATATTCCTGTATTTATTCGTACATACCAATGTTTATCAATTTGTTGATGAGATATTTTTTCGGGTATAACTTGGTCACCACAAAAAACCATGTCACTCATTTCTGTCGATCTGTGTGTGTAGCTTTTGAAAATCAGTATACTGGCGGCGGTGAAAATAGATAAAACCAAAAAGTAAAATAAAAACGCTCAAACATCGTTTTCTGACGTTCAGTGTGTCCTGGTCATTATCAGAAAATTTTTTGTATGTGCTAGAATTCGAGGGTTGGGGTTTGCAGACGTTGTCGAGGGTATATGATTTTTTTTTTCATATTCGTATATCTATACGCTCCCAGTGCCGGTAATTATACTCACCTAGGGGCCATATTTCACACATCATAGATTTCCCCTTATAAAACAGAATGATAGAGATATATTTGCGATACTGGTCTCCTTCTGCTACCTGAGCTCACCCTATGGCGTACCGGTATGGTTGACTGTTCTGCCTGTACTCTGGAGCATGTATAGAATGGGGAAGTATAACGATTTTCTTTCATGATGCTCTTTTGAATTCTCAATATCAGTGTTTTCGACGCTGCTGAACCGCTGCAAAACAGGATGAACCACGGGACAACAAAGGATAAATTTCACAAATAACAGATATTCCTCAATTCGGCCAGCATTCTCCCGTTTTCGAAGTTTAAGTGAAGTTTAAAGGCAAACAACCGGGAAGTTATTGGAAATCAGAATTGTAATTATATGCATGTGGAACACGGAACTTCACCAACTCCAGTAAATAAACTTTTGTACTTGGACGGACTAGTTTTAGATGAGTTACGCATCAGGTAATTTATTTGCATTGTTTGGTCTTATAAAGTTAGTCGACCAAACCATGAAGATTCACCGAGCAGTTGATGTATGGAAGTTACTGCAGAACTTTGTGAGTTATTATTACATCTTTAACGACTACTCGGTGAAATTCTTCAAATATCACTTGCAGAATCGTAAGCAACAGGTGTCAATAAACAATAGAATGTCATTAGGCTCCAATGTCATATTAAAGGTTTCCTAAGACTCAAGCTCAGGTCCGATCATGCTTTTAGTGTATATGTCCACGTCAAACGCTGAAATCCCACATTACCTAAAATACCTAGTCAGTCCCCGTATTGCCGGCAAACACCGTAACAGTTTGATTATTACAAAGTTTGACTAAGCACTTCAGTTATTCCCTGTAATGACTGAACAGTTTCAGTCAAAAAGCGTTACAATCAGATCAACTTCGTTATTGCATTTGCCTGATTCAGTCATTCATTGTACCAGTTTTGTGTTCATTTGCTTGAATATACACATCACCTTTTCTGCGTTTGTAAGAATGTCGCAGCATTCAGAATTGTTTTACAATAAACAAAGTGAATACTATGACAGTTTGAATA